CAGCGACAGCAGAAGCAGCAGCAGCACCCGCTCACAGCAGTGCTCCGACGAGCACGGGCTTCCAGGTCGACCACGCGCGCTGCCGGCAGCATCCAACGAGGCGCATTCGATCGCCGCGCTTGCGTCCGCCCCGGAGGAAAGTGGAACGTTACGGAGGACGACGAACGGAGACGGATTCGGGGATCGCTCTCGTCCTTATTCCTGCCGATCCTGCGTTTATCGCGTCGCTCCGCGGATCGCGCGGGTCATGACGATCTCGCGACGAGACAGCCCCGACAGTCGTCCGTACGATCCGTCCGGGAGCGATTGCGAAAGTTCGCTCTCCCCCGAGGTAGGGGAGAGAACGGGAAGCGCGAAGAGAACTCGCCGAATCCACGCGCCGCCTACGATTCCCTCACGCGGTAATCGGTAAAGTCAGGCGCGATCGAAAGGCGATGGATATCGTCACCCCGTCGTTGCGCGCGAGAGCGACACCGACGCGGTTCGAACGATGGCGCGGTGCACATTGCGCGTCGCGCGGCGAATACGCGGCCGTTCTCTTTCGCGCCGCCCCACCACCGCCGGCGCCGCGGCGACACCGACGCTTCCTCCCCCTCCCCGCCCCGCCGCCCCCTTCTATCCTGCCCTGCCGTCCGAAAGCGTCGTCGACGGCGCGCGACGACGGTTCCCGGAATCTTCGTCGAAGCGGTTAAGATCGGGGGGTCGCGCTTAACTTAACCCGTAACCTGTTAATTTCTAGTTAGCTCCACCTTATCGCCGCACCTGGGACGCAGATGTAGCCTCATAAGAAAACGGTACGAAAATTTCCTCTCGTTACGCTCTTATTGTTATTTTCAAAAAAAAAAATTGTGAACTTATAGAAAGCTTCGGTCCTACATATTTTCTCTTTTAAAAATGCACTATATTTTTAATTATACCGTTCTATAAATCGATAAATTCATTTGAACAGCATTTATAAAATAGCAATAAAAGTATAATCATCTGTAAGTTGAAATAAAGACGGGAGATTTCTTGATATTACTGATAAATAATTCACTGGAAATTTTAATGTTTCCTATTTTAATTTTTATAATATTGTCATTTTTTATTCAAACTTTTAGTAGCATTGAACTATTTGTAATTAATACCAGTTATATAAATTTTGAAACTATAACAGATATTAATCTTGTAATTTGAAAAATAATTTTATACCTAAAAATTGCTTCTAAATCTTTCGAATAAAATGTATGCAAATATACTAGTATTAGATTTTATATATAAAATTTGGTATGCAATTTTATTGTGAAAAATTAAGATATATCTTCGAGAACATTTCGCTGCACGAATAAAAACTGATCGATAATTCAATAGTTTTATCTTATGTTAGAAAATAAATAAATAAATTCTTTATAAATATATATAAAGAGTTTATTATCTTCCTAACGATCACACAAAAAAATGCAGATCTAATTGTAAGAGGGATATACATACGCTCAGAAGAAAAGGCTATAAAACTGGGACACCCTGTATGTCATGGACGAAGCGTAGTAAACAAGACTAATTGCGTCAATGATCGAGACATAGATATGGACGTGTTGCTTTTGTTCGATTTTTATGTTATCGTAGCTTTAAAGCGTTAACGGAATAGCGACAGAAAACATCCTGCTGCCGCCGCGTATTAATTTAGAATCTTTATGTTAATTATTACATCGCTCCGTTCTCCGTATTTTTTCAATATTGAAAGAAATCGTCGAAGAACATAAAAAGTTACATCACGGCTTTTTTTTCGAAGATTGCAATGTGCTTGGAAATTAAATGCTAAACAATTAAAATCACGCTTCTCCGTCTCATTAAAATTATTTTATCGATAATAAATCTTCTGGCACAAAAAAAAATTAGAAGTTAGGACCGCGCGAACGCACAACAGACTGTAGGAACTGTATTGTGTCTTAATTAAAGGAAGCATCGTTTTGCTTTTCATCCACATACGAATATCGTTCCGTTCGTCAAATATACGGGTAATTGTTATACCGGAGATACGTGGGGATGGATGTAAAAATTAACGCTCTCTACGGAGTGGCGAGGAGCGAGAGCGATCTCTCGCGCGCGTGACGGATAATCGGGCATTGTTGCTCGGCGGCTCGTACCCCGGTCCAAGAGGGGGGTTAAAATCCAGGCTAGGGCACGCCGAAGATGAGCCATCGTCGGCCACGTGAGAGGCGTGGTCTCGCAGATCGGCCGGAGGTCGCATTCCGGTGCGGACTCCCGGCACGCGGGGGTCCAGATGAGAATGATGCGAAAACCGTGATGTCCCCCCCCCTCTTTCCCTCCCCCCTCTCTCGCTCTCTCTTTCTCTCTCTCTCACCCGCCGTCACGAACCGCTCGTCTTACCGGTGTCGTCGTGGTGTACATAAGCTCCTCCCTGGCCCTCGCCGTGGTCGTCGTAAAAACGCGCCCCTGCCTCACGCCGCCCCTGCCGTCGAGGCTAACGGGGGGATGGAGACGGAGAGGAGGGACGGGACGATGGGGAGGGCACGCCGCATAAAAACCCATCTTCACCCTCGTGCCCCCTTTTCCCTACCCGCCGCGCCCCCTCCCCCCTTCTCAGTCGCTGCACCGCGCTTGCAACCCCTGTAGATGCGCGACCTCCTTACCCCGCGCCCTATCTGCGCCCGAGGAACCGACATTTTTGCAGGGTGGTACCCGAAACCCGCCCCCCCCCCGACATGCGGTACCCTGAAAAGTACACGTCCTATACCCACAGTCTTCCTCCCCACCCCACGTCGCTTCTTCCTGGCGCGCACGTTTTGGCATTTGGACGTTAAAGGGTGGGCACGCGAAGAGGGAAACCGCGATGGCACATGCTCGCCCAGGGTGATCCGATTTTGTCTTCGGGAGGGCCTTTCACGTTTAATATTTCGGAGTACATCTGATTGTATAATTTTTTAAATGCACGTCCAATATCGAACAGAAATATACAGAACTAATTTTTCGCATCTCGCAAAAAAACGTGTCACGCAAAAAACGCAATGCGCCTCCTTATCAAATTCCACCAACAGTTTCCCGACGCATAATGACACGTGACGTAATACGCAGCGTGAAACGTGAAGCGTAAACGCGTTTAATCGCGCGCGCAGAGTTCGGGGGAAAACGTATATACCTATATATATTTCTCAAAATCTCACATCCCGGAATCTCGGTTTCCTCTGAAACCGTTTCCCTCTTTCCCGTTTCTCTCTCTCTCTCTCTCTCCTCTCTCTCAACCCTTTCGCCACCCCTTCGTCGCCTCTCGCGAACTGCTCTTTTTCCTCCTTCGCCGACATCGCTACGATTCTTTTTGCCGCCCTCCCATCGCCAGACCGCCGCCAACCCTCGTACACCCCCTCCCGCGTCCTCTCGTATTTTTGCCCCCTTCCCTCCCTGCGCTGCGCTACCCGTCGTCCCAGCCCCCACTCCCGCAGCCTTTCTCCGGACCGGTAGGAAAAGCGCGAGAGACTTTTATTTTCGCACGTAGAAAAAGCAAGGCGGAAAGGGAGGTTTTGCCGGCAGACCGTTACTGCGAGGCGGACGTTTTTTGCGACAGCTCCGTAATCCGTGAAAGGGTGAGAGAGCGCCGGGAGAAGCCAAAGGCGCCGCGATGCTCGGCGCTCGGCTCGGCTCGTTCGTTCGCTCGCTCGCTCGCTCATTCGCGATTTGCATAGAGCGATCCGGACGCTCTCGACTCCGTGAGACCGGCGCGGCGGGATCGCTTTACGTCGCGCGATTGCACGAGGCGTTACAAGGCGGATGCGCCGGTTAATTGTTAGATAATTCGATTTCTTCGCTATACGGGATACAGTCCATTATTGGTACCTGAAAGGGGATGATTTTACGTGAAATCGCGCTAAGCCCATTGCGATCTCGCGTAAAGAAAAGGGGTGCGAGGATATCGAATTATCGTTCTTCTTTAATTAAGGGATGTGAATTCTTTTAAAAAATTTAGCCTCTGCCATTCTGCTGCGTCTACATAAAAAATTGAATCTAAGTTTTATTCTTACTCCTATTATTGTTAAATTAGGTATTACGTTGGTATACTTAATTCCACTTTTTCTCACATGTTTATCAAATTATCACTATCTCTTGCAAATACGAGTATATGATATATGTGAGTGATGAGCTTGATTCCTATAGATTTGTTGAACTGCGCGGATCAGTCATCCCCGTGAGATGTCGTTCGTTTTATATTCTCGCGCTCAAAATCTTTAGCTTGTACTTTCTGGATTGACTTCTAATTATTTTTATGATCTTATAAATTATTTCCTGAACATCGAAAGATATTCATTTATTTTTTAAGAAATCAGGAATAGGAACAGCTTCATGGCATTTCGATAATGTCGACAGTAATAAATGCAATAAAATTCGCGATATTTTTACAAAATTACAATATAAAAATTGTTAATTTAATATAGCACGCGATATCTTGCTGCCTCCGATTTTTATTATCCCTTTAAAAAATGTCAATCGTCTCGAGTCAATTAAACAGTCATTTTCGTGATTCTCTCTCAACATTATATTTTATTCGGAAAAAGAATGTCTATGTCTTTGGAAAATGTGTAGATTTTAGGATCTTAATATCTTCGTATATTGTGTGAGAAAAAGGGTTTAACGGAACGTGCTTAACGAAGTATAGCACAGTTCCTTGGCTAAAAATATGCAAATTTACCGGAGAGGGAGAGGCAGAGAGAGGAGCCTGGGAGACACTTGGGAAAGGGGTCGCGCGATGGACAATTTTTTGACCAGAGCACAATGTCAACCGTAGAAAAACCGACAGAAAAACGAAGGGATAGGCAACCGGCGAACATTACTATGCGTGAGATTTTCGTTCAAGATGCTACATAGTATATTGCAGCTGCTTTATTTCTCGTGGAAATCACGCGGGGATCAGAATGGTAACCCAATCTCGTTTCGACTCGGAAACTTTTTCGAGTGCATTCAATTTGAGGAGAAAAAAAAA